CAAACAAAACCAGAGTGATCTGGGGGAAAGTAACTCGGGCCCATGGAAACAGTGGCATGGTCCGGGCCAAATTCCGAAGCAACCTTCCTGCAAAAGTCATTGGACACAGAATCCGTGTGATGCTGTACCCATCTCGGATTTAAACCAATGAAAAGTAAATAAATAAAAGTGGATTTGTGCTCTTGTATTTTTTTTTTTCACCAGAACTGTCCTAAAAGTTTTCCCTGTATTTAAGGTAGTGGGAGTTGTCTGGTATTTTCAGAGTGGAAGGAAATTCTATATAATGGTCAGTATTGGGCAAATGCGTATGTTTAGAAGATAAGTTTTCACCAGGTGGTGGCAATCCAACAGACGGACTAAAGGGGAGGCAGCGGCAGATGGATCTCTGACTTGGCCAGCCTGGTCTACAAGAGTGAGTTTCAGGGCAACCAAGGCTACACAGAGGAACCCTGTCTCGAAAAATATAAAAAACGAAAAGTTTTGCTGGGTGAAGTGGTGTACTCGTTTGATGCCAGAACTGTGTAGTGAGAGCCTGTTTCAAAGTTTTATATGCTTAAATGTTGGGCATGCTGGGTGAATAAACTGGGGAAGTAACTTCAAAAAAAAAAACTGAAAATCAGATATATAATGCAGTAGATTACAATATACGAATATGATACATGTTGAGGAATGGTAGTAGAAAAATATTAAACAGTCTTTGTTTTCTGCAGTCCAACTATTGTTTACATAAGAACAGAAAACTTTAATATTACTTTTATGTGTATGTGTTTGTGTATAGACTTGTGCATATGAGTGCCAGTGCTTGCCAAGGCCAGAAGCGTCAGATACGGATCTGGAGACGCTGGCAACTGTGAATCGCTGCTGCGGGTGGTGGGTGATGGGAACTGAGCCGGGTCACCTGCAAAAGCAGAGCACATTAACTGCTGAACTGTCTCTCCAGCCCCCAAAGCCGGGAGCTTTTCCATATGTTAAAAGAATACAACTCAAAGCATACTACATGGACATGTGGCTTGAGGACATGCAGAGTGTGGCGTGCACTTGCTGTGTGTTCAGCGCTAAGGCTAACATAAAGTTACGTATTCAACATGGCCGAGTCCCAGCAGATATGCCTCAGGGTATGCTCCGTTATAAGGGGTTTTTGGCCATCGTGCGTTAGAAAACCTTCCGTTGCTGTCACTTGTTTTCAAGTCTGTGTGAGACTGTGTGGGTCCTCAGCCCATGGCTTAAGTCTCTGGCTCTAGACTCACAGGTCTTTGCTTCTGTTGGAACAGCAATCTTATTCCCTTTATCATATGTATGCATATTTATCATTTGCAACAATATTCTGGTAACATTACTTTAATATGAACAAAATTTGATAGCCCTTGCAAACATTTTTTAAAAATTATTGAAATTTCATTTCAGTTCTACAGCCGTTTACTGTAATTTAATTTTTACTACTGCTACATTTGGTGAAACCTGTTGTGAGCTTTTTGAGCTCTGCGATTTCAGGGCAAGGCAATTCTATGGTTTCTCTTGGAGATAGAATCTCACTTCGCAGCCCCAGCTGGGCTCAAAGTCAGGGTCATCTTGCTTCAGTCTCCTAAATGTTCCGATTATAGGTCTGTGCCTCCGTACCTGGCTCGTTCAAACTCGGGACAAACTAAACTTTGCTCCTTTAGTTGGAGCCATCTGTTTATTGTCTAAGTTTCATGGTGGATATTTGAATGTTAGACTATAGATGTTTATCTCTCGTGCTGAAGCAATAAGGGTTTCTAAGGGTCCACAGCATTGCATGGCTCATTTTTATTAATTATAAAAAATTCAGGAGTCTCTTAGTGGAATTTAAAAATTAATCTTTCCATAAATTCCTGATCTTAGTTTTATGTGAAAATGGTTTCCAATTAACATTTTTGTCATAACAATTTCTATGGCTTTTATGTAGTATAATTAAAACAATTTTAATGTAAAGTTATACATTGTTCACTGTATTTATGAAAACATGTTTTGAGTAGATGCTGAAAGTTGACAAGCTAGTTGTCTACACAGGGCTTGGAAGATATTCTGATTGTGCTGCCCACAGCTTCTTGTGCTGTCTTCACAAGTCACACTTTTATCATGGTAAATCCATCACCTGACCTGAACTTTGACCTTTGATGTCAAGTGAGTTATGTCAGTGGCTGGTAAAGAGTGTCTCAAAGCTATTTCTACATCAAGATAACTAGCGATACATCGGTTCTACATAGAAGTGTGTACCAGACTTTTTCTTTTTGGGCCATCAACCAGTTCTCAAATCATGAGAGGGAGATGTGGTATTCGTTATAAAAAATCATGAGAGGGAGATGTGGTATTAGTTATAAAAAATAATGAGAGGGAGATGTGGTATTAGTTATAAAAAATCATGAGAGGGAGATGTGGTATTAGTTATAAAAAATCATGAGAGGGAGATGTGGTATTAGTTATAAAAGCTTAGCCTTATCTTCGCTCTCATTTTTTGTTAGCTCTTATAACTAACCGGTTTCTCCTTATTTATGTTTTTCCTCAGGACTTTTTAACTCTATGTCTTACTTTCCTGCTGTCTCTACATTTGTCTGTCTGGTAGCTGCCTGGCTGGCCCCGGGCACCTTCAATTCCCTTCTTCTCTTCTTCGTCTTGTTCCCTTGAGCCTAGATTTCTCCTACTTATTCTGACTGCTGGCCCTGCCTATCCTTTTTCTGCCTAGCCAGTGGCCATTCAGCTCTTTATTAGGCCAGTCTGGTGTCTTAGGCAAGCAAGGTAAAACAGCAATACATCTTTTCAACATTAAACAAATGCAGTATAAACAAATCTTATGCTGTTAAATAAATGCAGCATAAAAATGTAGCACGTTTGCACAGTTAAAGTAATATTTCACAGCATAAACAAATGCAACAGATCTTTACACAGTTAAATATTCCACAGCATAAACAAATGCAACAGATCTTTACATAGTTAGTCCACAGCATAAACAAATTCAACACATCTTTACACAGTTAAAGCAACATTCCACAGCATAACAAATGTAACACATCTATACATAGTTAAATAGTCCACAGCAAAAACAAGTGTAACACATCTATACATAGTTAAATAGTCCACAGCATAAACTAATGTTAACACATCTTTACATAGTTAAATTTCTAAAACAAGAGTTTTATGAGCAAAGGGGTCAAGACCATGATGGGGAACCCACAGAAACACCTGACCTGTGCTGGTGGACGCTGACTCTGGACTGACAGCAGGAGAACCTGCATAGGTCCAAATTAGTCCCTGTAAATGTGGGTGACAGTTGTGTGGCTGGGGAGCCACTGGCAGAGGGGCCAGGATTTATCCCTAGTATAAGCACTGTAGTTCAGATGGGAAAGTATTCTGGCAGTTGGGAGCTGGGGAATACTGAGTGTTACAGCTTGGGTGGAGTATTCTGGCAGTTGGGAGGCAGTAATCAGCACAGGTCACAGTAAGCATAGCAGCTTACAGCCCTCAAAGTCACAGCTCTGCTTGGTTCCCTACCGAAGTTGTTACAGTTCGACTCTAGGGCCCCAGGAACTCCGCTCTGCTAGGGGAAGATTTCCCCAGCCAAAGTTACAGCCCCACTGGGCTCCAATCCTCTATCTCTGGCTTCCCCAGCAAAGTTGTAACAACTCACATGGCTAGATTTCCCCAGAGGAAGTGTTTACAGCCCTGCACGGCTCTGCTCTGTTCAGGCGAAAAAAGTTCTTCACACAAACCTCATTCGAGAGAGATTTATTGGGAAGGAAGAATCCAGGAGTGGCTGCCTCTCTCAGGGTGGAAGACAGCAGCAAACAGAACAGGCACAGGATTTATACAGGGCTTCTTAGGGGCAGAGTTTTTCCATGGAGTCTAAGAGGTTAGTTTAGTTGGTCAGGGGCAGAGATGGCTGATTTCAGGGCCAGACTGTGTTTCTTTCACTAGCCTGTTTTAGCTTTTAGGGTCTAGTTTTGGGAACAGGGCATATTCTTTTACTGTCTCGAATTCTCGGGCCAAAGTGGGCTTGGGGCTAAAGTATTTCTTTCGCTGGCGGTGGTCTCAGAGCCAGGGTGGGTTTCTTTGGCAGGCCCTTTGCCCTACACCTAGTGTTTGAGCAGGCTTTTTGGAGCCCATTCCTATGAAGGGATACCTTTCTCAGCCTAGATGTAGTAGGGAGGGCCTTGGTCCTGCCACAAAGCAATGTGCTAGACTTTATTGACTCCCCATGGGAAGCCTAACCCTCTCTGAGGAGTGGATGGGGGGGGGTGGGAGAAGGGGAGGGAGAGGGAACTGGGATTGTCATGTAAAATGAGAAAAGCTTGTTTTAAAAAAGAAAAAAAGGTAGAAAAATAATATCCAAAACAGAAGTGTCACAGATTTATCTTTTCAAAAGGTAAGCCACGTATTACTGTAGAACTCGGGCGTCGCTCTCCTATACTCCTGACCTAACTATTCCAGAACTTACCTGGCTCCTCTCAGGTGTTGCTTATGTCAAGTCCTGTGAGGGCGCGGACACACACACACACACACACACACACACACACACACACACACTGTGTCCATCAGCGCAGGTCTATGGACAGCCTGAGACGACAGTGAGAAATATTTCACAAGAGAATGAAAACGAAGGTAGGAAATAATGGATTTGGAGTCAACAGAGTTTCCTGAACTAATCTTGATCTTTTTCAGGACTGTAATCTGCTGAGGGTGATATTGTCAACTCTATTAGATCTACAATCGTCTAGGCAACAAACCTCACAGCACGCCCTGAGGGAATTTCTAGACTGGGTTGAGGTAGAAAAGGAGCTGTAAGCGCATTGGGCTTGTAGGACTGAATGGGTGGGGCGAAGAGCGCTGGGCACCTAAAGTCACCTCTGCCTCTGACAATAGATGGAATAGGAGCAGCTACCTCAGGCTCCCGCCACGCCGTCTTCACCTTGACAGACTATACCCTCATGCTGGGAGTCCAAAGAGACCTGCCTTTTAGTTTTTGCCACTTTTGGGGGTCACAACAACAGAAAAGGAATACGGTGAGCATTTGTATTCCGGCTGGATGGACACGATCCTGGTGGATAGCTGGAATCCAGACCTACCAGGTCAGAAAAAAGGCTTTGGGTGCCGGCAGCAGAGCTCGGGTCACAGCCCTGGGACTCCGCGCAGCGCAGACCGCGTCCCCGGGTGACCAAGCGGGCGCGCCCCGCAGGGGGCCAGCACCTGCTCGGGGTCGCCGCTCGCCCTGCGCGCATCGATCGCGCGCCGCCCCAGGGGCCTGGCCCGCCGCGTGCCGCCGGTTTAACGGTCCCGGCCCCGGGGCCCTGCCCGCCCGGACCCCGCCCCCGCCCCGCCCCCCGCCCGCTGCGCCGCCGACTTAAGCCGCGAGGCGACGCGCGGCGGGAGCCGTTCTCCGACGGCAGCCGGGCGCTCGGCCGTGGCCGCCGTGTCTGGGCTGAGCGCCGCGACGCCGCGCCGGAAACCCTCCCGGGTCTTGAGGCGGTAGGTGACGGGCGGCCGGCGCCGAGTGGGCGGCGGGCACTGCGGGGCGAGCGGGCAGGGCGAGCGGAGGCACCGAACCCCCTGGCGGCTCCGCGCTCGCCCGCTGGCCCGCTGGGGCTAGCTAGGGAGAAGGTCCAGACTGCTCGCCACCCACCTGTTGCCTGGGCAGCTTGTCTCAGCGAATCGTTAAACTGTGTCTTTTATCGAAAGATGTTAAAACAGATAAAACTTAAAAAACAACAACAACAAAAAAACTCTTTCTAGGCCCCCACTCCCCGGAATTTTTAGACAAGGTGAGAAAAATATGCTACGTGTTGATGCTGTTGGATACGTTTTTTGAGTTTTGAAAAACAGAACAGGCCAAATAGATGTATGGAATATGAAATTCTTTTGACTACCTAGTAATAGACTATCTCCTGTTCGTATTTATTTTGTTACTTTTCGTTTATTATTCTTATCAGGACTGGTTGTCTTCTTAACAAGCAGCGTTTAATTTTAAGGAATACTTTGAAGTGTAGAATTTTGAAGCAGGAAGTTGAGTTTAAATCTTAACGAGTTTTCACGTGGGAAATATACGGAAAGTAAATAAAAGTGATGTTGTTTTTTAAATTATACTAGAACTCTCCGCATCTGTATTTTGGCGGTGCTGAGAAGAGAACCGAAGACCTCACATATCCTAGGGTCGCGCTTTTCCACCGGGTACATCCTTAGCCCCAAGAAGCCCAGAATTTAAAAGGGAGATTTTAATTTTAGTACTTAGCGTGTCTAGCCCTGGCTGACCTCTAATTCACTTAGAAGCCCAGGGTGGGTTTAAATTCCTGATCCCTAGTGCTGGGATTACAGGTGTGAGCCATCATACCAGGCTTTATGCAGGGCTGGGGACCAAACCCAGTGCTTCGTACGTGATGGGGCTACCTACCCAGCCCTATTTATCTTAAACACTGAATTATCATTACTATGAAAAAAGTATTCTAAATATTCTAAAAAAAATTGTAAATTGAGGAAATGGAAAGTGTTAGCGTCTACAATCTATCCACCAAGGCGTTATACATAAATGTGCCTTCTCCAGTTAAGGTTTTCATCAACACAGAATACTTATGACAGCGGATGTCTGAACAAGTAAGCAAGTTTAGAGACGGATGGACTTCGCGGTCAAATTTACACTATGTAGATGAGGTTTCTGAACCCCATGTTTCCCACCTGTAAGGCGGGGCTAATCATTTCAACAGTTAGTATATAGCTCAATGTTAAATGAAGTAACATTTGTAAGGTGTTTAGGACGTCATAACATCTAAAGAAATGGTGTTCTAATTTAAAGATCTATACTCAATACAGATTGCATCCACATTTATCAGTTTATGTGCGTATCTATTATATTTTAGAAAATTCTAGTTAATTTGTAATTTCAGAATGAGAACAGTTTCAGCAAAACACACTGAGGATGTGTTTAGCCTCGGCACACGTGGAATAGTGGGATAGCAGCTGCAGGTTCCTGACGGACGGCCCTGAGAGTAATTTACCCATTTCATTCACCTGCCCTTGTCGTTCAGGATGATTGATACGTTTTCAAAACTTGAAACTTTGTTTAGCAAACTTTCTGAGGACTGTGTTAATAGAATGAATATTTCTAGGTATTATGCCAAATAAGATCTTGGTCATAAACTGTACATTTGCATTTTAAGAGAGAACTCTGCCATGGGCCTGCCCGGTGCTCCTCATTGATAGCAGTGAGGCCGTTTCTCTGGCAACTTCTGTCCTTTGTGAAAGTTGAGGAGTGCTCTGGGCGACACTGGCAGCGTCAGGGAAATGGTCAGGCTTTCCGATGACACAGGCATAAAAACTGATGTTATTTAATGCAACAACTAACTAGTTCAGCTAACCTGTTATTTTAACTAAATGGAGATTTGGATTACAGTTTGATTAGCGTCTGTAGCTCAGGTGTGTTATCGCGTAAATATGCAGTCCTCTAGGAAATGATGGTGGTGTGAACTCTGCACCCTGATTTCTAACTCGTCCACTACCGTGTCAGGGTTTCTGTGCAAGCAGAGTTTGGTTTTAAAAGAAAACATGAAAAGTCTGTGGGCACCTGCATTGTCTAATTTCTTGACTGATGTGAATTTACAAATGGGAAGTCCTGGGTACTCTCTTCCTCTGCCCACTGGAAGGGAGGTGGCCCCCAAAGAGCTTTCAGCTTCTGTTTATTGTTTTGCAAATGTAACTCCAACTCTTGGAATTGACCAGTGTGAATACTAGGGATTTGCCTTGCTCAGCAGCTGGAGGAGACCGTCCCTCAGTTTCAGCTGAGCAATGGAAAACAAGGAGCTGTGTGCCAAGGTCTTCTGTTCTTTTGTGTCCCAATTCACTAGTTTCATATGGAAACAGGGAGGACAGTTGCTGTATGGTATTGGGGTTCGCATCAAAAATTGTTAGGATAACCATTAAGTAAAGAAACATGTATTATAGTTAATTCATATTACACATTAGATGACTTTTCCTTTATTTTAAATATTCCATATAGAAAACAGTCAAATATTTGAGGGCTGTTTTTTCTTCCTGGTATATCAGTGTTGTATCATGAACAAATGTAGCATTGGTTTGTTCAGAAAGCTCCTTGCTGTGTTAAGTCAGCACCAGTTAACATAAGGAAGCAAGGCGGGCACCAGCACGGGTGCTGGTTGGCTCATCCCCACACGTCAGGAAAAATTAACTCTGAGGTGAGTTAGCATGGCTAACACAGAGGAAGTATACTTATTACTGTAATTCTGAAGTATCTCCAGACCTTTAAATAAGAGAAAGCATCTCTTAGAACAAAACAGTAATTGGTAATCATACTGAGGAAATATTACTTATGATCACAATTAACTTATGATCACAATTAACTTTTGGTGCTTGGTATAAAGCTAAGCAAGGGCTGCACACAGGAATTTAGGAGCCGTGCACCATGAAGATGTCAGGAGACTTTAGTTACAATGAGGAAGCCTTTTTGGCTTACTTATTAAAACTAATTATGCTGTAGATAATAAGATGAGAAGATAATTGAATTCTAGTTTCTGTGGCCTCAGCCAATTAATGGTACATTCAAATTAGCATGTAATAATATATTTACATGCTATACTTTATAAAAAAGAGTAGATGAAATCAGTGGGAACCAATGGAGAAGGTAAGGAAAGGAGATTGTTATGATTTTACTTCTGAAGACTTAATGAAAACTGCTTTGCTTTAAGGTATGTTCTGAGACTTGAAGATATTCTGTAAGAAAATAGCAACACCTTGCCTTTGGCCCAGAAAGATGAATAACCATTTGGTTTAAGAGTAGCAGGTAGTGTGGAAAGTCTGAGACGTACTGTATTTCTCTCATGTGAAACAGTAGCGTTCATTCAGCAGCTTGGTGGATATCCACTATCACTGAGGGGCTGCTCACAGCAGAGGCGCTCCTGGAAGGAAAATTGGAATCTAGTAGTTGGTGGAGGACTAGGAGTGGATGGGGAGTAGAGAGTTGATATGATCAAAGACCTTTAAACACTGATTAGTAGGTAGTTGCAATGTGTGTAATAAGTACTGGATTGGAAGAGATTGCAGAAGTGTTTTGTAAAAACAGTAAAAGGCTTCTTATTGATAACTGGAACAGTTTAGCCTAAGTGTCAGAAGGATACAAGGTTGTCCTCTGCATGGGTAAAGTCTAGCCATCACTTCCTGATCAGCTGAACTTTGGTGAACATTATCTTTCTATACCTGAAATATAAAATGAGAACACACATTAACTTCTACTGACTTATGTAACAGAAGTGTTCCTAGATGATTTATGTAAGTTATACGATTTGGTGTTTGCATCAAGCCTAGGAAGTAAGATGGCTGTTATCTACCGTCATGTAGGGTTCTACGAATGGTAAAGAGTTATCTATAATAATAATACATACATAAGCTGTTGGTTATGCCACGGGTGTAACCTGCTTCTATTATGATTAGTGCAGAAGATTTTGAACTGGTGGGCAGTATTTTTGTTTTGTTTTGATCATGTTGGGGAATTAATCTTGATCCTTGCACATGGTAGGCAATATGTCTAACCTTGAGATATATTCCAAGGTATTTCTAACGTTTTTATTTTTCAGACAGGATCTTGTTAAGTAGCTTCGACTGGCCTTCTGGCCTTGCAATTTTCCTGTAGTGATTATAGCCTTCAGGCCTGTACCGCTAATCACATGTTTAAAGTTTAGGTGTATACAAAAGGAGCATGGTTCAAAAGATGACAGTATGTATCCAGTTGCTCAAGGAATGGTTTGCTTTATCCATATTTTATATTTTTCAGGAGATAGCAGGTGAATAAAGTTTTCTTCATTAAGAACCTGTTTTCCACTTTCGTCTAGTATAAAAAAAGTATATTGTCCTCTAAATGTCATAATGTAGACATATTCTTGGCATCACAAGGTCAGATGTAGGGATCATTTACATCTATTTCAAAGATGATCAGAGAGAGGAATTAAGATCTTCTGTGAATAGTGGGGGCGTACACCTTTAAGTCCCAGCACTCAGAAAGCAGAGGCAGTTTGAGGTCATTCTGGTCCACAGAGAGAGTTCAAGGATAGCCAGAGCTGTGAAGTTAAGAGAGTACTGGAGAGTTGATGAAAATACATGAGGTATCGTTTGGCGGAAAAATAGACAGCAACCAGGGTGACTAAAGCCACCGAACTGAAGGTGTGTTTAGTAAAGGGGAGTTTTAAGAGAGTTGGTGATTAAAGAATTCGGGGGAAGAACATTTTTGATACCACAGCTCTTAACTCCATTTTTGGAGATGTTTAATTGACATCCAATGATAACGCAGAACTGGAAATAACAGTTAATAAGCCCCACTTCAATAATAAGAAGTGGGGCTAGCACTTAGTACACAAAGGCTAAGTACACATTACATTGTATTTTCATGTGTCTAGATAGCTAGGCTAAGGTATACATTACATTGTATTTTCATGTGTCTGTGGATAGTTAGGCTAACGTACACATTACATCATATTTTCATGTGTCTGTGGATAGCTAGGCTAAGGTACACATTACATCATATTTTCATGTGTCTGGGTAGCTAGGCTAAGGTATACATTACATTGTATTTTCATGTGTCTGTGGATAGCTGTAGACATGAACATTGATGTGCTAGCTAAAAAGGACTAGAGCTAAAGTTAGTCATCCTGAAATTTGTAATTGAAGAACAGAAGAGGGATCAGTTAATGTAGTTAGAAGAGGCAGCCAAAGACACAGGAAACAATACACGATAATAGAGCCACATAAACTGAAGGAGGAAAACTTCTGAAAGAAGCATTATGTAACTGTGGTGAAGGCTATACAGAGGCCCAATCGTTGAATATTTTAAATGGGTTTCATGTGTGTCTTCACTTTAATGTTTTCAAATGAGTATTGTGGTTGTTTGCATACATAGAAAAGGTCTAAATGGTCTTTATTATTTTGTCTAAAAGATGAAAATGTGTTTTTCCCCATTAAAGTATGGAACCTCAAGGTCTTTATGACAATGGAAACCAAGAAGTTGATTGGCAAACCGCTTCAACCAGCAAGACCTGTTCGTCATCTCTCTTCTCCTCCAGGTAAGTAATGGAGTTATTTAATTCTTTTAAGTAAATTTATTAATGGATAATTAGCACTTGGAAGATTTAATCATTTATAAAGTAATTACTTGAGGTGGATTTAAAAGAAGTAATAAAAATTAATGATCCCTTTTGTTGGTAGAGTTTACAAATGCTATCTAAAGGTAAAGAGACTTTCACGATCTACTGGCCCTGAGTCTTCCATATCAGTCAGGAAAAGGAGAATATGCCCTTTCCTCGAAAGTAGTTGTTATATTTTTGTTTATTTTTTTGTGATTTTTTTTAAATGCCTCATTGTATAGTTAATTGATCTCTGGTCAGAAAGACACCTTCCATATAAATAATTTGTCCTTGTGATGATTGTCCGTGCAGAGTAGTCATGTTGTAGGATGTCTTTTACAAACCCATGAGAGAATGACCATTGTTGCAAACAGTGTGCATGTGATGCCAACAGGAGCTGGGGACATGCTTGAGCTATCAGGTAGCTACATTTGGCAGTCAGACAACAATAAAGATGTCAAAGTAAGCCAGGCCTCATGGCTCAGGCATGTACTCCAACTATCCTAGTGGTTAAGGCAATAAGATAGCAAAGCCAAGGCTTATTTGGGCCACAGAGACATACAGGTCTGACTGGACAGCTTAGTGATAACCTATTTCAAAATAAAAACACAGGGCTGCCAAATGGTGCAAAGGTCAGGGTGCTGCCCCCAAGCCTGAGTGCCCAGCTTTGGTCCTGGGCCCAATATGGCAGAAGGGAGAAGTGGCTCCTGCAAGTTGTTCTGACCTATACATGTGTACTGTGGCACATGCGTGTGGAAACACATGGAATAAATAAATGCATGTAATAAAAAATACAAAACTGGCTAGAGATACAACTCATTCTTAGAATGCTTGCCTGGAATATGCAAGGTCCTGGGTTTAATCCCTGGCAACCCCCCCATCTTAAATATTTTTCTTTCTGTCCATAAAAATGTTCTTTGGACACAGTTTTGAAACGTGTGCCTCCTTGCTGCTAAATTGGCTTCTGTGGTCTAAATTACGTGGCACATGTATAAACCACACCAACATTTCCTTAGTCGATTTTGCCCCACTGACTCCATGGATTGTTTAATAAAGGAAAGAATGCCCCCTTTATTTTGTATAAAAGTGAAGCAGGAGATGTAGACATGCAACGGACTGCTCCCATCCTTGGCTTCTCCAAGTCATGCTCCCTTTCAAGAGAGCTGTGCCTTAGCACAGACAGGTAACTGAGTGGATCTCCTGGAACATAGCACCAGAGTGTGGATCCCGTGTTCTCTGTTCTGGAAGCTGCTGGGTAGAGTAGATGTTCAATTCATCATAGAGTGAGTGGCAGCTCTTCCTTCTGTGATCAGCTTTTTTTTAATTATTTATTTTACATCCTGACTGCAGTTTTCCTTCCCTCCTCTCTCGCCCTCCCCACCCCTTCAATTCTCTTCTCCTGTGTTCAGAAAGAGGCAAGCCTCCCATCGATGTTAACAAAGCATGGTATATCAAGTTGGAGTAAAACTAAGCACTTCCCCTTGTATTAAGGCTATGTAAGGCAGCCCAGTATGAGGACTGGTTCCCAAGAGCCGGCCAATGCATTAGGGACAGTCCTGCTCCCATCGCCAGGAGTCCTACAAGTAAACCAAGCTACACAACTGTCACATATATGTAGAGGGTTTAGGTCTCTCCTTTGCAGGCTCCCTGGCTGTTGGTTCAGACTCTGAGTTCCTATGAGCCAGACTAGTTGTTGCTGTGGCTTTTCTTGTGATGTTCTTGAACCCCTCTGGCTCCTAAAATCCATCCTCGCTCTCTTCTGCTGGATTCCCCAAGCTTGGCCTAATGCTTGTCTGTGGGTCTCTCCACCTGTTTCCGTCGGTTACTGGATGAAAATTCTCTGGTGACTATTGGGGTAGTCACCAACCTGGTCACAGGAGATGGCTAGTTCAGGCTGTGTATCTACTATTGCTAGGAGTCTTAGCTGGGGTCGTCTTTGTAGATTCCTGGGAGTTTCCCTTGCATCAAGTTTCTACCTGATGCCACATTGTCGTTCCCCCCACCCCCACCGCTTCCATCATGACATTGCTTTTAGTATTCTTCCCCCCCATCCACCCGCCAACCCAATCCTTCAAGTTCCCATTTCCACCTGTCCCCAGTGCACCCAGGAGATCTCTTCTATTTTTCTTCCCAGGGAAGTCCATGTGTTTCCCCCACCCCCACCCCTTTGAGCATCTTTATTACCTAGCCTCTCCAGGTCTGTGGATTGTAGCATGGTTATCTTTTACTTTATAGCTAATATCAGCTATATGATATAATCACATATATGTGGTAAATGTATATGATATATATGACACACAAATATGGTATATATTATTATATATATTACTTAGGATTGAGTACAGTTGTCTTTCGGGTCTGGGTTATCTCGCTCAGCATGATTTTTTCTAGTTCCACCATTTCTCTTCAGATTTTCTGATGTCATTGTTTTTAACAGCTGAGTAACACTCCATTTTCTTTGTCAATTCTTTGATTGAGGGGCAGTTAGCTTGCTTCACGTTCTGACTATTACAGATAAAGTTGCTATGAACATAGATGAACAAGTGTGCTTGTGTTATGATTGAGCATCCTTTAGGTATATGCCCAAGAGTGGTATGGCTGGGTCTTGAGTTAAATTTATTTCCTAATTTTCTAAGGAGCTGCCATATTGATTTCCAAAGTGACTGTACGAGTTTGCACTCCACCAGAAATGGAGGAGTGATCCCTTTGCTTCAAATCCTTTCCACCATGAGCTGTCATTTGTGTTTTTGATCTTAGCCATTCTGATAAGTGTAAGATGAAATCTTACAGTTGTTTTGGCTTACATTTCCCTGATGGCAAAGGATGTCAAACATTTCTTTAAGTGATTATCTGTTATTTGAGATTCTTCTGCCATCTGAATAAGTACCCCATTTTAAATATTCTTATTTTTTTATTTTTGATGTCTAGTTTCTTGAGTTCTTTATATATTTTGGAGATCATCCTTCTGTCAGATGTGGGGCTTTCCCCCACATCTTTTCCCATTTCGTAGGCTGCTGTTTTTTTCTATTAACTGTGTCCTTTGCCTTACATAAACTTTTCAGTTTCATGAGGTGCCGTTTATCAATTGTTGCTTTCAGTGTCTGTGCTGCTCGTGCTCTGTTCAGGAAGCTGTCTCCTGTGCTCTTGCATGCAAGGCTATTCTCCACTTTCTCTGTCAGATTCAGTGTAACTGGATTTATGTTGAGATCATTGACAGACTTGGTCTTGAGTTTTACGCAGGGTGATAGATATGGATCTATTTTTATTCTTCTATATGCCAACATTCAGCTATGCCAGCACCATTTGTTGAAGATGTTTTCTTTTTTCCATTGTATAATTTTGGCTTCTTTGTCAACAATCGGATGTCCATAGGTGTGTGGGTTTACATCTGGGTCTTCGATTCGCACGCATTGACCTTGTCCCTGTGATTGGCTTTTGCCAGAACTCTTTCCCATCGCGATTCTGCAGGCCTTCCTTTTAAGGCCGTGACATAGGTGGGTGGAAGGAATGCTGGGTGATCCTGGTCCAACTGAAGTATAATACTTTTAAGATACAGTGAAGTAGAGCTTGTTAGAGAGAACACCAAAGTAAAATAAACATCAATCTGGGGCTTTCTCAACACATTTCCAGTCTTGGCCAGCTCAAGGTCCTCAGAAGAATTTTCTTTTCCTTCAAATGCAGATTAAATTACTTCTTTTGTGAAGCCTTCCTGGTACCTTCAATCAACTATGGCAACCCCATGATTTCTCTCAAGCTCACAGTGAGAGAGTAGTTTACTGTATATGAAATTATACTATTACTTATGAGCTTGTTTTTAGACTGTGACATCTTCTAGATGCTCGTTACCTACCCATCTCCTAACGAGCTATGGCGTCAGAGGGTGGAGCAAGTATTTGTTGGATAATTAACTTATCATAAATATTTTGTAACAATGCCAAAGATGTCACAGACATGCTTGCTTGTTAGACTATGGTATAACATTTATTGACCATGTGAATATTTAGAATAGTTTTTCCCTCTTCTTACAGGACCAGTGTTCCCTTTTAACTTTCAGAATGAATATCCATGTAACACTCAGTGCTTACAAAGTGGAGTTGGCAGAGTAAGTCATAATAACAGACGGGGCTGGGGAGTAGCTCAAGGCACAGCACATGCTTATCCAGGGTTTCTGTTAGCTTGTGTGTCTATGTAAGATATATATACACATTATAGACTGTAAATGACATTGCTAAGTGGTGTATGCTTTGTTTTTTTAAAATGTTAAGGTATATTTCATGATACATTAAAGACTGCATGCTACCTGTATTCTTCTCACTCAGCATTTTAAAATGTAAATTTTTTTCTATATTTGTTTAAAAAATTTAAAGTTAAAAGCTTGACAATTCAAAACCTTGTGTATATCATTCTAAAATTAATTCTCTTTTCTTGCTGCCCTCCCAAGAACTAACTATCCTAGTTGTTATTTTTTTCCTTAAATGTATTTTGAATTTTTGACATAATAGAATTATTTTAATTACTTTATTTTTAAAAAAATTTTTCTTTCCCATTAATGTTGATGTTAAAAAATACTTAGTGAAGGTTTCCTTCTGGCCCGAGTCCTTTCCCTGCTGGCCCCTTTCCTAGTAACATAAGTAGATATTCTGGTCAGATCTTCCGGAATCAAGCTGTGAGACACAAGCATTAACATGACTGGAATACGAGGCAACTGATTAACAAATGGAGCAGCCCTGTGGGTGCCGATAAAGACAGCACATAACAATGTAGCCGTGACTGTCCAGGGCACTTTTCACTTTTTCAAGATTGAAAGGCTTTCTGTGAGAAAAACAACAAACAAACGACACCAGGATAGGAACTGCTGTGAACAACAATGTTCTTGCAGGCGGTGGTGGTGCACATCTTTAACCCTAGCACTCAGGAGGCAGAGGCAGGTGGATCTCTGTGTGTTTGAGGTCAGCCTGGTGTTTCAGGACAGCCAGGGCTATGCAAAGAAACCCTATCTCAAAAAACAAATCAAAACAAAGCTGAAAGCAATGTTCTCCCCCTCAGCTCTGTTGCTGCTCAGGTCACGCACTGAGGTGAGCTCTCTGAGTAGAGCATGGGACTATGTGCCCCACCAAGGCCTTCCTTCCTTGTTATTATCAGGTGTCACATTAGTTTCTTACTAAGTAGTTGTAAATTCTTATGTTGCTTTTAGTTTTTGTTCTCTGTAGCTTGAGAATTGGTATCTTTCATGAGTTTAGTTAGATGTGGTTTTATAGAGAGAGAATTGCCAATTCACACCATTGCCCATTTTCTCTTATGTTGTTCTCTTTGAAAAAAAATATTCCTTTGAAATATATTTTGGGTTTTGGTTTTCTTATATACACAGCAAATATTTTAAGAATATGGTCTATGAGAGTTGCTTCTTCATATTTGGGAATTTGCAAGTTTCCAAGAAGAGATACATGTTTTTCTTTGTATTTCCAATTCAAACACAGTACACCTGTTTTATGGGTAACCCTGTGTTTCTTAAGTGGCCGTGTTCATTAGGGCTACTGCTAACTAACTAGTATCTTTGTTAGAATCAGAAGAAAACTAAAAATACTATTGAAAAATTACAGGTTTGTCATATTTTGTTCCTAGTCGTTAAAAGTCGACATCACTATGGCGAAGGCTCTCCGTTAGGTGCACACTTTTCATAGCTGTTACAGCAGCAGCAAACCTCAAACCCAGCCCAGCCGGCTCTGCTCTGCACATTGGGCTTAGTCACAAAACTCTGGTCTGTACTCAGATTGTAAACATAATCATGCTTACCTTTGCATGATTATGACAGTTAAGTCACAGAACATCTAATCACTTTGCAAAACTTTTAGCATATTTTTTCTGTCATTATCATTTTATTTTTATTTAAAAACAATCTTTTCTCATTTTACATACCAATCCTAGTTCCCACTCCCTCCCTTCCTCCTGCTCCACCCACCTTTCCCTTACCCCCCCCCCAATTTACTCCTCAGGGTAATTTTTGCATGTATGAAATATTTTAGATAATGGTTATTTTAATATAACAAGGCATGAAAAAGTATAACTTTACCTTTGATGTTAGGCCTTGCTTTGAAGTAGCAGTTGTCGAGTTAATCATCTACTACAATTTTAGATGTGAGAAATACACTTTTTACATGTATTTATTTGTGCAAAGTGTGTGTGTGTTTTACAACTCCCTGAGTGTGCTAGTGGGGTTGCTTAGTGGGTCATAAACACCGTACCAGTGTCTGCGCCTCTGAAGGAAAAGAACTCCTCTTCCAGCTCCTATTAATGCTATCTGGCATATTCCCCTCTGCTTCCCATGTTAGAATGTTGAAGGGCTCAGTGGTGTGCAGGTCTTGGGCTGGTAACCTTAGCCTCTGTGAGTTCAATGCCCATGCTGTATCCAAAAGAATTTCAGAGCAATCCTCCCTACCTTATATTCTTTCACCCCCACTTTGGGGCTATTCCCTGAGTTCAGAGGGGTGAGAGAGGTACTGGTGTTCCATATAGGGTTGAGAAGTCAACATTCACTTTGACCATTGTGAACCTTTGAATTAACTACCCCCCATACTAACAGAATATGGCTAATTAACGGCATGACATACATGTCTCTGTTCCACTACTGGTCACACCTTGATTGGCAAGTTAGCACCACATAACACACGGGTTTTCATTTGTCACCAAGATAGAAGCAACACTCCTGTGACCAAGGATGGAGTGTAGGCATACATATTTAGGAAGCACGTAGACATATCCATTTAGCAAGGCAGCAGTAGTAAATCATTCTTAGAATTTATTACCTCACAATCCGTGGGCTTTGGCCAGGTTTACAGCACCAGGCCTGAATTCCCTTCTGTGAAATGGGCTTGAATCCTCAGTAGAATGAGATTCCTTAGCTGGGTAGCATGCATGCCCGAGTCACTGCTCATCCCACCTTGAGAGGCAGGTACTATTGTGCAGCATACAGCATTTATCAATGGGTAAGATCATTGATGCTTTGCTCCATGGTGGCCTGTATAGCATCTTTTGGCACTATAAAAACCAGCCAGAGGGAGGAAATTTTCAGGTTAGTTCCAGTTTGATGTCTTGGTATCCTACAACCTTACCTTCTAGTCGCGTTGGGTAACCAAGGGCAACGGCAATACCTATTTGGTTTTGGGGAATTCTGCCCCCAGTCCCCATGCAGCGCTCATAGGGAGTAGTGAGCTGAGATGGACTTGGAATGCTGTCTCCCTGTGTAGCCCAAACTGACCTTGAATTCACAGCCCTCCCTACCCCTGCTGCCTGAGTGCCGGGGCAGTAATACAGCAGAATACCAGTTTCTGCTGCTCAGGGTTTATCAGTTAGCTCCAAGTATTCCTTGATTAATATTTTAGACCTTATAAAAATACTTCTGAATGTTAAAAAAAAGTTACATAGACTTTTCAGATCCAAGTTTAAAAGTTTGTTTCCTTACTCAACAGTGCAAGACGAATGGGATGCAAGCCTTTTCTCAAGGTCTGACGGAGCAGCAGCAGCACCAGTCTCCAGTAAAGAAAGGTACTCAGTCATCACAGTAGCCCAGTACTCACAGGAGGGGGCGCTCTTTGTTGTTTGCCTCCAGGGTGATTTGTTTGTGTCAGTCATTATGCTGGTTTCTCTGCTCTCGTGGAGACACCAGAAGAACAATGATTTCAGTGAGATGGAAGGGTGCACATTTTATCAAATTTTCCATTGGGTTGTTTGATTGACTTGTACTGTACATACATACATACATCATAATACATACATACATCATATATACTACATACTCATTCTTGTTCCCTCCCTCTGTCTCCTTCCCTGCCCTTCCCCTTCCTTTTCATTTTGGATATTTGACTCCTATCAGATACCAGATATCTGATGTTCCGTTGTTTGCCCCAATGCTGGGACACATGTGTTCTTTCAGTGCTCAGCATTTTAATTGGATGACTCTGGAATTGTGTGTTTCTCTTTTGTTGCTGTATTTTAGGATTAGATGTAAAAAATGAGTGTCAGCTTTTATGAGTATTTGCCCTTGTTCCCTTCGGGGCTTCATACTTTTATAAAGTTTGGTCTTTTGATGCACTTTGAGTTAATTTATGGATATATTTGGAGATTTTGAGATGTACAGCTTTATTCTTTTATAATGTAGTTATTACTAAAGAAAGACACCTTTTCCTCATTGAAGGTCCTTGGAAGGTTTATTGGGAGTTGGGTGATGTGGACACTGGTATTTGTCTATGAACACTGAGTTCTAACCCTTTATGCTGACAACTGTAGCTTGTAGAAAGTATTGATATTTGGAAGCATAAACTCTCTAATGCTATTCACTTTCAAGATAGTTTAAGATATTTGGGGTTCATTGAAATTTCATATTTTTAGGATCAGATTTTCCATTTATGTTATAGAGGATATTAAAATTTTGATAGTTATGGCATTGAATCTATAGATTATTCGGTAGGAATATTACCATGTTGAAATATCATGTCTTGTAATCAGTGAACAGGCACATGCTTGTTGGAAATGCCAGCTCTTGTCCTGGGAGTGTTTGTCAGATTAAGCTTATATGAAATTATAGAGTTCAGAGAATGTTGATTCTTCCAGTTGTTCACCAGCTTGTCATTCTGATGGGGGAAAACTTCCAGGTCCCAACTTGGCTCTTTCCCACGACGTCACTCAGGCTCCTCCAGATGGTCACCTTGTTCTCACTCACTTCCTGTCTTTGCTCAAGCACAGTCTCCAGAAACTTAGGAAGAAGGATGTGGAATCAGTGACTTTTTCAAGTCTATCAGTTTGAAAATGGTGTTCTTTCATGTTCCCACTTGACTGATAGTCTGGCCAGACAGAAAATTTCAGCTGAAGATGAGCTTTCCAAACATGCATGCTTTAAATAAGGAAGACGCAAAACCTGAGCTATTTTAGGTTCTCATGTCCACGAAAGAGCTAGAAAGACAAGGCTGTAGATCAGACAGACGACAGTGAGCTTCCTCAACATGGAGCTGTAGGTCAGACAGACGACAGTGAGCTTCCTCAACACGGAGCTGTGGATCAGACAGATGACAGTGAGCTTCCTCAACACGGAGCTGTGGATCAGACAGACGATCGTGAGCTTCCTTTGGTGTGGAAAGCTTTTGTGCATTTCTTTGGTAGTTTTCTCTCCTTTATTTTTCTCTCTGTTCCTTTTCTAAAGCCCCTATTTGAGTCTGTTATTAAAAACATTGGCTCGCTAGTTTTTTATATTTCCATGGTCATTCTTTACCCTCTGAACAGCCTCTCACCCCTCTGTGTGCACGGGCTCATTTTGCTAATATCTTTTTAAAAAATTTATCTATCTATCTATCTATCTATCTATCTATCTATCTATCTATCTATCCTGTTACAGCGTGGTCCAATCTGAAGTTAGAAATTTTTAGTTTTCAGCCCTTCCCATCAGGGAGATTGGTCCATCTTATTAGCTGCTTCTTTCTACACAGCACTGTTTACAGCAGAAGCTGTCACTTTCTTCCTCTCTCGGACAGGATAGATCTATTCCTTAGGAGTTTTATCGAGAGACACAATGTATTTATTACAGAGATCATCTTTGTGGGTGTGTGGCTTGTCTACTTGCTAAAATGCAGAATTGTGTGAGCATTGCTACATTTTCATCACAAAACACGCTCACTTCTTTCCCACTTGCCTATTCTCGCAATCAAGCAGTTAATCACTTTCTTGTGAATTACTTTTTTCTTGATAAGTGGTTGGTAGGAATTCCACTGTATGGTTATATACATTTTATTTATCCTTTTGCAATACAACTTTTTGATTATGGTTGATATTGATTATTCATATAAGAAGTTATTGTTCGGATCTTTTTATTTCTCTGTAGTAGAAGTTAGATTGTTTTACCATAGACTAGGTAAATGTATGATTCCATCATACTGTTTTAGAGTATCCTTGTAGGTAGATGTATCTGTGAATCTACTTGTTTGATAGAACTTGGAATTCATAGTTCATCATTATTATTTAATTATAGTAATTCTATTGTATAGACTCTAATTTTCAAATTGCCATATCAAAGAAATTCAAAATCTGTGTTCAAATATTTATGTAGCCATTTCATCCATGTTGAGTGTTGTCAAGAAGTTGCTCATTCTATCTTATTTTATAACTAATGTCTGATAAGAACTCCACTATTCTTCCAGAGAATGGTCATTTGGGTTGTTTTGTGTTGATTAATCAATCTACTTAGATAATAGAAAATTTTGTTTTTATTCTTCAGAGAACCAGCTTTGTCTTTGTTTTGTCTTTGGTGATTGTAAATTCCTTTTTCTAACTTTGGGTTTAGTTTGCCGCCCAACCCTAGCATTTTAGTATAGCTTATTCGGTCATTGCTTGTATATATTTATTTTATTATTCGTATGGTTCATGATAAGAGTCATATGATTTGTCTCTACAAACCTCTTGTTGATGCTTAATTCCCCCGTTATAATGGCAGCAGTGGAGACTGAGTCTTTATACTAGGTTAAAGCCAGTCTCTAACGTGTTCATGCCTCCTGTGCTAAATGCGTCCGGCATGTTAAGATGAAGTCAGGGTTCTTTACTTCCCAGATGCCGTGTTGTTTGGATTTTCCAGTCACCAGAATTATAAACTTTTCTTTCTATATTAGCTAGAATACTGTTCTAAGAACACAAACAGAACAACACATCTCCTTATATGCACATTTTATTAGTTGAGAATTTTTCACAGTGTGCTTCCATCATGCATATCTTCCTCTCACAACTCCCTCCAGACCCCCGCTTCCCCACCAATCCAATTCTGTGTCTTTTTACTTTGTGAAATCCATCAAGACAAATTTCTGCTCCTCAGTTATTCCTAGATGTGTGGTGTTCCACTGGATTGTGGTCAATTATCAAGAGCTGTAATCGTGGAGAACACCGACCTTCCCTCTCCTAGCAGCTAACAGTTGCCAACAGCTCCTTTGCTAGGGAAGGGATTTCATGCACAAGTCCCCTCTCCATATTGCGATTTGTGTGACTGGGGCTTGTATTGGTTTTGTGTATGCTCTCATAGCCTCTGTGAGTTCATACAAGCCTCTGCCCTTCTGTGACAAGGAGACGCTTTCCTAATAGCTAAACTTCTGGCTTTTACTTTTCTGTTACTTCTTCTTCAATGATCTCTGAGCCTCTGGAGGAGGGGTGGAGTATGGCTGTTCCATTTAGGGTTGATAACTTTGCAGTGCCTTATTTTCTGCACCATGGTCAGTTGTGAGTCTCTTTGTTCATCATTTACTGAGAATGGAAGCTTCTTGGTTAAAAGTGAGAGATGCATTAATCTTAGTCATTAGCCGTCACTTTAATACTTTGTTTACTTAGCAGAGTAAAAGTAGTAATTTTTAGGGATGGCTACTTGGTTTCTCAGAACCAATTGAAATGTTCTTCTCTGGGAAGATGACTCCAGCTCTCAGCATGTTCTTTGTCTAGAGTCAAAGCCTTGCGTGCTTTCTTCTGCTAGTGTAGCATGTCTCTGGGTATTTTTCTTCAAAACATTTTTTTTTTAAAAAGTAGTAACTTCTCCCCTGTAGCTCATGACTTATGGTGCAAGTGTAGGTTTCATGTTGTGGAACTGACGGTGTCTGCTGTGTTTCTGTGGAACTGACGGTGTCTGCTGTGTTTCTGTGGAACTGACGGTGTCGGCTGTGTTTCTGTGGAACTGACGGTGTCGGCTGTGTTTCTGTGGAACTGATGGTGTCTGCTGTGTTTCTGTGGAACTGACGGTGTCTGCTGTGTTTCTGTGGAACTGACGGTGTCTGCTGTGTTTATGGTACTACTGCTACAGTGGGCATGGCTTACCAGCCTCGTCATTGCTGTAACTCCCGAGGTTCGAAATTAGTGGGGTAAAAGTGATGGTTGCTTTTCTCCTCTGGTAGTGTTCTTAGCACCTAGTGTAGTAAGGAGGTTGCTTGTTCATTTCCTGGTGGTTCAGACTCCCAAAATACCACACAGAAACTGTATTAATTAAATCATTGCTTGGCCAATTACTTAAGTGTATTGTTAGCTAGCTCTTACATCTAGAATTAACCCATCTCCCTTATTTTATATTTTACCATGAGGCTCATGGCCTACCAGCAAGGTTTCAATGTGTCTGTCTCTGGCAGCCGCTCCATGGCTTCTCCCTGACTTTGCCTTCATTCTCCCAGCATTCAATTTAGTTTTTTTCTGCCTAGTTCTGTTCTACCCTATCAGGCCAAACCAGTCATTTTTATTAACCAATAAAATTCACAGCATACAGAGGGGAATCCCACATCAAGCTAGCCAGTGGGGAAAATCTTGCAGGTCAGCACCAGCTAGATTTTTCCATGGTCTATGACTCAAATATGTGATGTAATCAGCCATAGTGTTGCCCAAAACCTTTGAAATAAGAATTTGGTTGAAATGAAGCTACATTTCAGTCACATTTTACATATTTGAGAAACATTCATGTGTTTTAAATTTGTGTATGTGTATTTTGTGCCCCAAATGTGTGCCTGATGCCTGTGGAGGCAAGAAGATGTGGACAGCCTTGTCTAATTCCTGATTTTAGTGGAATCGCTTTGAGTTTCTCTCCATTTAATTTGATGTTAGCTGTCGGCTTGCTGTATATTGTTTTATTATATTTAGATATGATCCTTGTATCCCTAATCTCTCTAAGACCTTTATCATGAAGGGGTGTTGGATTTTGTCAATGCTTTTTCAGCATCTAATGAAATGATCATGCAGTTTTTTTCTTTCAGTTTATTTATATGATGGTTTACATTAATAGATTTTCATATGTTGAACCAGCCCTCCATCTCTGCGATGAAGCCTACTTGATCATGATGGATGATTTTTTTTTAATGTGTTCTTGGATTTGGTTTGCCACTATTTTATTCAGAATTTTTACATCCATGTTCATGAGTGAGATTGGTCTGTAATTCTTTCTTGGTTGAGTCTTTGTGTGGTTTTTGTATCAGGATAACTGTAGCCTCATAAAAAGAGTTTGTTTCTATTGTGTGGAACACTTTGAGGAGTATTAGTTCTTGAAAGTTCTGGTAGAATTCTGCACTAAAATCATCCAGCCCTGGGCATTTTTGTTTGGGAAGTTCTTGATGACAGCTTCTATTTCCTGGCAGTTTATAGGTCTATCTGAATTGTTCACCTAGTCTTGATTTAATTTTGGTATATGGTATCTATATAAAAAACTGTTCAATTCTTTTACATTTTCCAATTTTGTGGAGTACAGGTTTTTGTAGTAAGACCTAATGATTCTCTGAATTTCCTCAGTGTCTGTTATGTCCCCCTTTTCATTTCTGATTTTGTTAATTTGGATGTTCTCTCTCTGTATTTTGATTAGCTTGGATAAAGATTGTCAATCTTGTTGATTTTCTCCAAGAATCAGCTCTGTTTCATTGATTCTTTGTATTCTTTTCTGTGTTTCTATTTTGTTGATTTCAGCCCTCAATTTGATTATTTCCTCTCTTCTACTCCTCCTGGGTGAGTCTGCATCTTTTTTTTTTCTCGAACTTTCAGGTGTGCTGTTAATTCGCTAATATGAGCTATCTCTGGGGGCTGGAGAAATGGCTCAGTGGTTAAGAGCATTGCCTGCTCTTCCAAAGGTCCTGAGTTCAATTCCTGGCAACCACATGGTGGCTCACAACCATCTGTAATGAGATCTGATGCCCTCTTCTGGCCTGCAGGCATACATGCAGACAGAATATTGTATACATAATAAATAAATAAATATTTTTTAAAAAAGAGCTTTCTCTGATTTATGTGGGCTCTTAGTGCTATGAACTTTCCTCTTAGCACTCCTTTCATAGTGTCCCATAGGTTAGCTATGTTGTGCCTCCATTTTCATTAAATTCAAGGAAGACTTTAATCTCTTTCTTGACCCAGGTGTGGTTCAGTAGTTGACTGTTAAGTTTCCACAAGTTTGTAGGTTTTCTGGGAGTAGTATTGGTATTAAATTCTAACTACTCCATGGTGATCTGATTAGACACAGGGTTACTCCAATTTTTTTGTATCTGTTGATGTTTGCTTTGTTACTGAGTATGTGATCAATTTTAGGTTCCATGAGTGCTAAGAAAAAGGTATATTCTTTTTTGTTTGGGTGGAATGTTCTATAGCTGTCTGTTAAGTCTATTTGATTCATTACATCTGTTCTCTTGTTTCTCTGTTAAGTTTCTGTCTGGTTGACCTGTCCATTGGCAAGAGAGGAGTGTTGAAATCTACTCTTAGTGTGTGGGGTTTGATGTGTGATTTAAGTTTTAGTAATGTTTCTTTTACATATGTGGGTGCTCTTGAATTCAGAATTGAGACTTTATCTTGATGAATTGTTCCTATCAGGAGTATAAAGTGTCCTTCTCTATTTCTTCTGATTTAGTTTGAAATCAATTTTGTTAGATATTAGGATAACCACACCCACTTGTTTCTTAGGTCCATTTGATTGGAAAACCTTTTCCCAACCCTTTACTCTGAGGGTAGAGTCTGTCTTTGAGGTTGAGGTATGTTTTTTGTAAACAGCAGAATGTTGGATCCTGTTTTTGTATCCAATCTCTTAGCCTGTGCCTTTTTATAGGTGAGTTGAGCCCATTGACATTAAGTAATATTAATGACCAGTGGTTGTTAACTGCGGTTATTTTTCTGGTGGTAGTTTGTGTGTTTCCCTTCTTTGAGTTGTGCTGGTGGAGGTTTGTCAGATGCTTGTGTGTATTGTTTAAATCTGTTTTTGTCCTGGGATATCTTGTTTTTTCCATCGATGGTGAATGCAAGCTTTGCTGGGTATAGTAGTCTGGGCTTGCATCCATGGTCTCTTAGTGTCTGTAGCACATCTATCCAAGACCTTCTGGCTTTCATGGTTTCCATTGAGAAGTCAGGTGTAATTCTGATAGGTTTACCTTGATGTTACTTGACCTTTTTCCTTTGCAGCTCTTAATATTCTTTCTTCTGTATGTTTTGTGTTTTATTATATGGTGAGGTTTTTTTGATCCAGTCTATTTGGTGTTCTGTATGCTTCTTGTACCTTCATAGGGATATACTTCTTTGCGAAAGTTTTCTTCTATAATTTTGTTGAATATATTTTCTGGGCCTTTGAGCTGTAATTCTTCTCCATCTACCCCTATTATTCTCAAGTTTGGTCTTTTCATGGTTTCCCAGATTTCCTGAATGTTTTAAGAATTTGTTAGATTTAATGTTTTCTTTGACCAATGAGTCAATTTCCTCTATAGTATTTTCAGTGCCTGAGATTCTTTTATCTCTTATATTCTGTTGGCTATACTTATTTCTGTAGTTCCTCTTCACTTACCCAGATTTTCCATATCTAGAATTCCCTCAGTTTGTTTTATTACCTCTATTTCAGTTTTCAAATCTTGAACCTGTTGCCTTCAACTGTTTGTTTTTTTCTTGGTTTTCTTTGAGGGATTTATTAATTTCTTCCAACTTTTTGTCTTCTCTTCCATTTCTTTAAGGGAGTTTTTTACTTCCTCTTTAAAGGTCTCCATCATTTTCATAAAGTTACATTTAAAGTCATTTTCTTTTACTTCTTCTGGGTTAGAATGATCAAGTCTTCCTTTTGTGTGTCCTCTGGGTTCTGGTGTTACCATGTTGCTTTTTAGGATGTTGGAAGAATTCTTGCATTGGCGCCTACCGAGCTCTTCCGTCAAATGAGGCCAACAAATGTCTTGGCATCTTAGTCCAATCCTTGCTGTGGCTGTTTCTTAGGTGGTCTCAGTATTGGAGCAAGCTGTGTTCCAGGGTTCCTCTGAGCTTGCAGGTGAACAGGTGGGGGTGGGGTAGGTTGGGGAATAGCCCAGCCACAGGAATACTCCCTGTTGGCTGTCTAGAAAAGCTGAGGGGGTTGTGGCAGGGCCCCTAGTTTTTGTCCCACTGGAGAGGTCCTAGAGAGTGGGGCATCCGACTGTTCAGCCCTGTGGCTGTTGACTTACCTCCCAGTTCCCCTCAGTATTGGAGCAATCTGTTTTCCAGGGTTCCTAGTATTGTACTATTTCAAGCCTATGGTGTTGATACATTTCTGGGCATATTTGCAGGCTACACTATATACATCTATACCCTAGAAACATACCAGACCATATTGGAACTTTAGCTTTTAACAGTGACACACGTTTTGATACAATTTAGAGGAAAGAGCAGGAGTCTGTTATTCTTGGCCAGCTCTTTGATTTTGAAGAAAGTTTTCATCTAGGGTCATTTCACTTCAACTTGAATGACCTCCTTTTAGCATTTCTTGTTCATTAGGTCTGATAGTGAGTTCTTTTAGCTTTCCTTTGAGAGAGTAGTAGTAGAATTCTTGTGGGGTTTTCTCCCCATACTGATAAGAAATTTGTCAGTTATTTTCTTTTAGTTCTTTTAGAATATTACAGCCATTGCTCTCAACATCAGCATATAGTCAGTATTGAGGATAGTTTCTGGATGATTCCTGATGAGAAATTGGCAGATACCTGAATAGGTGGTTGCCTGAAGATAGGGACCCCATCTCGGAACTCCTTACAATCACCTTGTGTAGTTCTTGATGTACAGCAGGCATATAATGTTTTTGAATTTGATTGTATTAAAATTACAGTACTGAGATTAGATAGGCCCACTGTGATTCCATTTTATTGTGATCTGAATATTACAATAGGTATTAATATCTGTTGGGATAGTCAATATATATTGCTGCTGTTACACACTTTATAATGTTAGGTCATCTTGCTATACCCGAGTAAGCCCTGTATTACCCATTTTTTTCATACAGTTCTTTTTTCCTTTCTTGTCTTCCTTTCCATGTGAAAGGAAGATTTGATGAGCTTCCCCCATCTTTTCAGCAGATAGTGCATGCCCATTCAAAACAATAGTGGGCAATTTAGAGACCTCCAAAGTAGAGTCAAAAAGCTATCTAGGATAGTATTTTTATAATTATGTTTAAATCTTACTATCTACAGAGAGAATTAAATACAGCAGAGATTTCTTGTTGAAGCTTTCAAGTGTTTCCATCTGCAGAAAAAAACCAGACTTTCTGCCTGATCATCCTATTGTACTTCAAAACCCAGTGAGTCATTTGCTGATCTTTTATTGCACAATTGTATTCAGGTGTTTTTAACATTTGATTTTTATAAATTAAGAATTTTAACATTCTGTATCATAAGGTAATGGTGGTACAAAGAGCACAAAATTCTAAATGTACTCATATAAACAATCATAAAATGATTATTATTCTACTTAAGAGTTATAACAAAATAATTCTGATTTTCTGTATGCTAAAACTCTTCAGCCAAAAGATTATGAAAATACAATTCACCTTGCAGCCAAAAAATTCTTAGTTTTCAACTATGTTCTATAATCTGCCTGAAATTTACTTTATAGCAATATGAAGTGGGTGTTGCTTTCATTTTTTTTCCTTGTGTGGATATCTAGTCATCCTAGCAATATCTAAAGAACGGATAATGTGCTGACACCTTGTGGTAATGTGTACCTGGCTTATTTGTAGGCTTATTATATTCTGTTCAGTGTCTTTTATACAGACCACTCATGTTAATCTTTACTTTGCTACTTAGCCCCTTACATTTCCATACCAAACCATCAAATGTATGAAAATATACACAGTAGTGTGCGCTGCACCCTGCTCAATGCTTACAGGAAAGGCCATGGGTTCCCTACTACACCTGTGATAGACACTTCAATTCCTGTTTCTCTCTGTATATTGCTAGTTCAAACTTGGGCACTAACTTACCTTGAACCCCCCTTTTGCTTTGAAGATGAGGACTTCTGTGTGGGTAGGATGAGATAACATAAGAACACAAGTAACGTGCCTTCCCATCAGTCACTTTGCATTCACTTTTTCTGCTCTTTTTGGTCTCGACTTGACTTTTTTGTTTATTTTATTTAGGTAAAAGTATTTTTTCTTTTTTTCATTTTTTAAAGTTTTTTTTTCATATATTACATCCCAACTACAGTTTCCCTCCACCCACTCCTACCAATCCCCAGCAACTCTTCCCCTCCTCCACTTCCCTTACAAAAATAGAGCAGGCTCCCAGTAATACCAACCAAACATGGCACAACCAAACATGGCATAACAAGTTACAATAAGATTAGGTACAAACCCTCATATCAAGACTGGATGGGGGAACTAAATAGGAAGAAAAGGATCCCAAGTGCAGGCAAGAGTCAGAGACGCCCCCTTAGCTGGGCCACCAGTACACCAGGCAAGTGTCCTTGGAGGATGAAGAGTCCTTTGGGTATATGTATACCTGGGTCTTGAGGTGGATGGATTCAGTTTTCTGAGGAACCACCAAATTGATTTCCATAGTGGTTTTACAAGTTTGTACTCCCACCAGCAATGAGGAGTGTTCCCCATAAACCACATCTTCACCAGTATGAGCTGTCACTTGTGCTTTGGTCTTAGTCTTTCTGACTGGTATAAGATGGGATCTCAGAGTTGTTTTGATTTGCATTTCCCTGATGGCTAAGGATGTTGAGCATTTTTTTTTAAAAAGCATTTATCAGCCACTTGAGAGTCTTTTGTTGAGAAATCTTTAGAGCTGCACCGTACCTTTTAATTGGTTTATTTATGTCTAGTTGACTTCTTTATATATTTTGGATATTAGCTGTCAGATGTGCAGTTGCTGGAATCCTTTCCCATTTTATAGGCTGCCATTTTGTCCAGTTGATGTTGTCCTTTGCCTTATGGGAGATTTTCAGTTTCATGAGTGTTTCCTTAGTGTCTGCGCAATTGGTGTTCTGTTCAGGAAGTTGTCTCCTGTGCACATTGAGGGCTATTCCCCACTTTCTCTTTTATTAGGTTCAGTGTATCTGGTTTTATGTTGAGGTCTTTGATCCACCTGGACTTCAGTTTTGTGCAGGGTGGTGGATAAGGATCTAGTTCCACTATTCTGTGTGCTGGCAGCCAGACAGCACCATTTGCTGAAGATGTTTTCTTTTTTCCATTGTGTATTTATAGCTTCTTTATAAAAAAGAATCTTAGGTGTATAGATTTGTGTGGGGTTTTTTTTTTTTTGATTCCACTGATGAGCCTGTATGTTTCTATGCCAATACCATGTGGTTTTTATTACTAAAGCTCTGTAGTATAACTTTAAATAAGGGCTGGTGATACCTCTGTAAGTTCTATTTATTGTACAGGATTGTTTTAGCTATCCTGGGATTTTTTGTTTTTCCATATTGAGTATTGTCCTTCCAAGGTCTGTAAAGAATTGTTGGAATTTTAATTGGGTTTGTATTAGATCTGTAGATTGCTTTTGGTAAGATGGTCATTTTTACTATGTTAATGCTACTGATCCATGAACATGGGAGATCTAATATTTTCAATTTCTTTCATCAAAGATTTTAAGTTTTTGTCATACAAGTCTTTCACTTCTATGGGTAGAGCTACCCCAAGGTAGCTTATATTATTTGTGGCTTTTGTGAAGGGTGGTGTTTCTCTGATTTCTTTCTTAGCCTGTTTGTTTGTATATAGGAGGGCTACTGATTGTTTTTTAAAAATTGTATCCAACCCACTCATGAAAATGTTTATCAGCTGTAGGAGTTCCATGGTAGTTTTTGGGATCACTTATATACACTATCATGTCACCTTCAAATAGCGATATTTTGACTTCTTTCTAATTTGTATCCTCTTAATCCTTCAGATATCTTATAATTTTAAGATGAGACTCAGCACTGTAAGTTTGCTGAGCAGAGCTCCACTATGGTATAGAATACACTCTCCTATGGGTATAGAATACAATCTCCTATGGGTATAGAATATAATTTCTTTTTCCTCTTTTTTGGAATTTTAAGTTTTGAAAAATCTCTACAATTTCCACAGTCATGGGGCTGGAATAATGTTTCACTGGGCAGGAGCGCTGGCCACAGAGGTATAAGGACCTGAAGTTTGAATCCCCAGAACCCATATAAAAAGTTGGGTGTGGGTACTTACGGAAACAGGAGGGTCATTGGGGCTCTCTGACCGTCATCTGAGTTCCAAGTTCAATGACACACCCTACACCTCAAGAGAATATGTGAAAGTCATAGAACAAGAAACGTGACATTCCCACTTGGCCTCCATGCATGTGTTATCTGTGCTTCAGTTGGCACACATATATACATTATAAATAAATTTCCTTGGTCAGATGTTAAAATTGTTTATATAAATACATTTCACAATTGAAGCTTCCTAACAACTTAGGTGCCTCCATCAGTTAGACACCTTTAGTAGGTTTTTCTTTTGGTTGTTGTGTATGTATGTGTGCGTGCCTGACACTGCATATGTTCAGAAGTCGCAGTAACTTTGCAGGAGTCACTATTCTCCCATCTCGGAGGTCCCAGGGATCACACCCAGGTTGTCAAGGTTAGCGGCAGGCCTTCACTAGCTCGGTAGCCATTTCTTTTTCAAATTAAATCAGGAAGTAAATTTTTAATAACACTTTTATGAAATATTTGATAAAAAAGGAATTAAATACTTGAATTTTCTCACTTGTTTGAAGAATTCTTGGTTTGTAAGAATATAAATTTTAGTTTTACATAAAACACAATCACTTTTTATTTCCAAGCTTAAATGATTCATTAACACTTTATTTTGTTAATAAAAGCCTGACAAACTTATTTCGGATAAATATACATGAAAATTGTATACTTTTGCTTTATGCATTAGCAACATTTATAAAACTAGGTACCACAGAAACGTAACAGATTTAGAATACAATTTACTATATTTAAAAATGGATAACTTAGGTTTAGTGAAACAAATGTATTTGATAGTTTGTTATTTTAATAGTTTCTATAGTAACATGCATTTACATTTAAGTAGGTTCATAGTATTTGGTTGATAAGCTAATTTGTGAAAACTATTTCGTTAGTCTAATTGATAAATTATCTTTCTTCTATATTACAGGAAAACAACCAAAGTTTTAAGTAGCATTTTAAGAACAGATGAACTTGAAGATAAAGAATTATTCATATTATATTTTGGACACCTGCAAATGAAGTGAACCTAGTAATAATAACTGATGGACTGTGACGATTCAATTTATTTTTACTTTTGATGGTTGGCTATTTGGCTTCTCATAAAATGAGGAAGAGATATTGTAAACTATAAAAATTTTTCTAATCAATTTCAGCTTTGCAGGCAGTTCCTGCAGATATTGGGAGGTGGCACTGGAAAGTGGTGATGCCATGGGTGAGGTGGGAAACGACTAATTTGCATGCTCCTTGCAGCTCTTGTTTTTCACCGCTTGTAATAATGGAATGAAAATGTAAGCTGTAAAGATTCTCAGATATAAACTATTTGCTACAATGTATTCATGGTGCATAATTTTGTTGCCCTTAAAGTCAGTGTCACTTAGTCTCTCTCCCAAAGATCTCCCACCAGCACTTGAACGGGTCACTGTGTCGTCTCCTGCAATGATTCAGGTGTTCAAAGCATTGATAGACATCTCAAACATGTGATTGATTGTACCTAGGTTGTTAATAATAACTACGAGTAGAGATAAACATTTTGAAAACAGGGGTAGTAAAACCGAAGTGGAAAAGTAGCTGATACTTAATGTCGCTCATCAGACTGTATGACCCAGAGTCACAGTCGGAAAGTAAAATTGAGATTGTTTCAAAGGAGGAGTACAAATTCAGGCATTAGCAGATAAACTGAGGTACGTTACGTTTCCGCTCTGTAATTTTTCATAATACGAATATATATGGATAAAGAACTGAGGATTAAGCTTTTGATTCCTAGGAATTTAGTGCACTGAAGTGCATGTGATGTGTGAGAAAGGTGTGCACGAGCCCGCTCCAGGAGGAGCACAGCCTTGTTTCTCCTGAGCATGAAGGGCTAAACCAGCTTCTGCCACTAGATTTCCCAGGTTGGTCTGGGGACAAAGTACCTTTGTTTTCATTGCTTTTCACCTCAGAGAAAGGATTTTTTTTTAAACTAGAAAGACAGAAACAAAACCCCAAACTCATTCATTAAGCATAAATGTATTGCTTTTTAAGAATGAGATGTTTATGCTACGGCATCATTGTTGTGTGTCACCTACCAGTTTCCTTTTTGTCATAGGATCCAGTCTGGATGTATGCATTTTCACACTTTCTCACACCCAGGAAAGTCTATAAAATAGGTGTATTTAGTACTAAAGTTTTGTGCTTGTTTTAAATTTCTTTACTCTGTTGAGTTGAAATTTGATTTGAAATTTGATTTAAAGTATGGATTTTTAAAATCTTCTAAATGCAAGTGTTCACTTTTCATAATAATGAGCTAATCAGCTATTTTGATTATATACCGAAGCCTTCTGCCATAAACTTTAATTTCCCCAAAGTTTGATCAGTAATGTTTAGCTTATATATAAGAATCATGATACTAACAAACAAAGGTGTCACATAAGTAAATGCCATAAGTTACTATGGAATGTTCACTCGCAAAATACCAGATTACAACATGACACATGGGCAGAGCTTCTACAGGCTACAGCCAAGTTTGTTTTCTGCATTTATGTTAATATTAAAGGGAATATTTGGAGGACCATGTGATGGACATGTGAACCTTACTGAGGAATGTCTCTCTCACAGAACAATGTGTTACTGAAAAAGTCATGAACCACAGATGTAATGATTTAGAGCATGTGACAGTGTACAAACCTGTCATGTTATGATGCTCCAGTGTACAATCCTGCACATGCTATGATGCTCCAGAAGGTCTCGGCTAGATTTTACCATAGCTCTCACAGTTTCATGGCTTTATCTCTATACCATTTTTATCTATTAGGATTTTGCTATAATGACTGACAATGTAGCAAATCAATTAGCATCAATTATCAAGAGTAACAATAAACTTTGAAAATAGTTCCAGAATACACTTCAGAATAGCGTACTTACAGTAAACACATTGAACAAAAGTGAGCCAATTGTCAGCCACAGAGAACTTTCCAGTTTGCATTTTAGATTAGAACACTTGTACTTGGGACCATAATGTGTAGAGACATCTAATTGTTGTTCAGGATCCACCATGAAGCTGAAAGAAGAAAAAAAAATAATGAAAATAAGTCCAAACTGTAAAGAGATCATTCCCTTCTTCAGTCTGCACAATTGCTTTTCTAGTTTTCAATTCTAGACTCTTTGGGATATTGACTTATTCCTGTGTAATTATACTGTAGGTTTTTGAATCTTGTCGCTGAAGACTTTATAGATGAGTAACACTTGTCATAGGAAGGTTACCAACACCCCGATGAGCCATGTTGCTCATCATTTAGTGTTAACTGTATTACACTAGCAGCTGTTAGGCACTGACATCAGGTACTACATACATGCTTCAGTCAGTTTCAGTCTGAATATATATAATATAAGCAATGCTTTTAATACATTTATATTCCAGCACTAATGTGTTCCCCAATAAATATAAACCCCTAAACACAACCTATGACAAAGAAGTACGGCTGCTGGCACGCCGTGGTAAAGGTAGATGGGGTAGGCTCCGTTTAAAGTCATTATCTCGCTTGCCCTCAGACCTTACTTTCTTGTGCCGTCTTCCCTTTGTAGAAAGGATACTCTAGCTCCTGAGCTGAGTCCCCAGCTCCTGGTGTCTGCATCGTTTATGATTAGTGGGCCTGCATCGCTGTATTTCAGTATGCTTCGGTTGACTTTTGTATTTAATTGCTTATAGGGATATAACTTTGGTTTGTATACTTATGTCTAGATGTTGTTCAGCTTATTTGAGTTGCATCGTCGTCTGTGTTTCTAAACATCATCGGTCCTGCTTTCAGTTTCTAGACTTAAATTTGTGCAGTGACGATGGTTTTGTTTTCATTTCTAACCTTCATTGTGGTATAAGATGCAAAATGCACAAATCTGGTCCAATGTTAAAACTCTAATGTCTAGGTTCCAGATTGCTGTTCAGGGTTGTGTTCCTGCAACCACACCTGGGAAACTTTAAAATAGGTTGAGCTGTTCCAATGGACGAATGGATATTAAAATTTTATTTGAGGGAAGTTTCTCTCTGTCTCTCTCTCCTCTGTCTGTCTCTCTCTTGATAGGCTTTCTCTATGCAGTTTTGGAGCCTGTCCAGGAACTCGCTCTGTAGAGCAGGCTGGCTTTGAACTCAGATCTGAGTGCTGAGATTAAAGGAGCTCCCATTTGTGTTAGAAGCCAAGACTAACTTTTTCCTTATGTTAAGGTTCTATTTATCATTGTCGAGATTAGGTGTGATATAGAAATGAAGGCAAAGCTGGACATAAATGAAACTGCATGAACTTCAGCCTCTGAGGATGAGAGTTGATCCAGTTTTATTTGTGCCCAGTTTTCTTTGATTTAGGGACCACTGAGACAGTGGAGCGGAGTAATACATGTATCAGTGATGGAAGAGTTCATGACATTACATCCAAAATAATGGTGATGCTGGATCAGAAAACTCATTAGGTTATTTTATGTTTACAGTGCTTACTATGCTATTTCTCCTGCCCTTCTTGCTAACTCATGACCTTCCACTTACTCGGTCTATCCAGGTCAGAAAACCTATAAGAACAAACAGTACTTTCACCCTTTAAGCCAACAAGCTTAGTTTTGGGAGAACTGAAAATAGATCTGATGGCAAACACAAAAATATTAATATTAGCCCTTGGAGATCTGCATGTCTAATACCAGTGTTTGACTGTTTGTCGTATAGCACCAGTACAGCCTTAAAGAAAAGATGAGCAGATAAATGCTAGCCCCGTTTTTTGTGCATTCTATTGACAAAGGCTGTAGTCAGTGATATTTACATCATATTAGAACAGCAAGTTCAAGCTTGCTATAATAGTGAAGCTAAAACCTTGCTAGATAAACAGAATGTGGCCTCCTCAGTCTCTTCCTTCATAGCCTGTCAAGCACACTTTTCTGGTACCTTGAGATACCAACCGAGTCAAACTGCAAATCCCATGAGCCCAACTGTGTTCATGGCTTTTTGTTTGAGGATTAAACCAGCTGTGCAGTGAGAGATTCTGAACTCGTGTCCCCAGAAGCTCTACTGGCACACCAAGCTCTGCCTTAGATTGTGGGTGTCAGTTAAACTGGAAGCTCTCTCCCCCAGCCGCCTGTCTTCTCCTCCAGCTGCAGCACCATCTCCCACCTGGTCCCCAGTGCATCAGATCCCCACCACTCCATTACGACTCTTCTCTTCAGTAGTGGTCTTGTCAAAGTCAGTTTTCTGTGTCATTTTCCCCAATCACTTCACCACGAATGGATGCCCCAAGGTGCGTGGCCTCCATGCATTCACTCTGATACTGTCTTATCCTGCCTGTCCTGGTTCTCCAGAGTAAACGAGATCCTCTCCAGATCTTTTACAGAAAGACATTTCCTCCCCGGCCTCGCACAGATGACCCGTCTTGTCTGCACATGTCCTCACTCAGAGTTGATCTTGCTGTTCTTGTGTAGCTGGAATCCCAGCAGGCTCCTGGTGTAGGTCATTGTCCTGCTCGGTCAGTCCGAACTCATGCTGACTACTCTTGTCCACCCTGTCAGTTGATACTGATTGGACCATGTGGTCATCCATGTCATCAAAGTCTCTAAACTGTTGTTCATCTACCTAATTGAGATATTCTCCACCTTAACTTGAAGTAAGTCTACAAAGCCCTTGTTGTCTCCAGGGATAACTACTTTGTGCCTTGATCTGTCTTTTGTTTTTATGTAAATGTGTGCCCTTTGTAAACAGCTTTTTGCCATACTGGGTGGACAGCACTTTACCCTTAGAGACTCTTTTTATTTTGTACATCAGTTAGCCCCTAGCAAAATACTTGGTCAGAACAGACTCGCAGCCGGTGCAGGAAATGGCTAAAAGTATCCCAGGACTCCAGTGCCACACACACATTACTCAGTAAATATATGCACCAGTAATAACTGAGTACATGGGTAGACAGCGAGTGGATTTTCTCAGTAACATTAACCTTTCTTCAGACTTCTTAGACT